ACAGAATAGAGGACCCAGAAATGGGCCCTCAACTCTATGGTCAACTAATATTCAACAAAGCAAGAAAGACTATCTACTGGAAAAAGGACAGTATCTTCAATAAATGGTGCTGGGAAAATTGGACAGCCACGTGCAGAAGAATGAAACTAGACCACTCTCTTACACCTTACACAAAGATAAACTCAAAATGGATAAAAGATCTAAATGTGAAACAAGAATCCATCAAAATCCTAGAGGAGAACACAGGCAACACCCTTTCTGAACTTGGCCACAGCAACTTCTTGAAAGATATATCTATGAAGGCAAAGGAAATAGAAGCAAAAATGAACTATTGGGACTTAATCAGGATAAAAAGCTTCTGCACAGCAAAAGAAACAGTCCACAAAACTAAAAGACAACCTACAGAATGGGAGAAGCTATTTGCAAATGACCTATCAGATAAAGGGCTAGTATCCAAGATCTATAAAGAACTTATCAAATTCAACACCCAAGAAACAAACAATCCAATCATGAAATGGGCAAAAGACATGAACAGACATTTCACCAAAGACATACACATGGCCAATAAGCACATGAGGAAATGCTCTGCATCACTTGTCATCAGGGAAATACAAATCAAAACCACAATGAGATACCACCTCACCCCAGTGAGAATGGGGAAAATTAACAAGACAGGAAACCACAAATGTTGGAGAGGATGCAGAGAAAAGGGAACCCTCTTACACTGTTGATGGGAATGTGAACTGGTGCAGCCACTCTGGAAAACTGTGTGGAGGTTCCTCAAAGAGTTAAAAAATAGATCTGCCCTATGACCCAACAATTGCACTGCTGGGGATTTACCCCAAAGATACAGATGCAGGGAAATGGTAGGACACCTGCCCTCCAGTGTTTATAGCAGCAATGTCCACAATAGCCAAACTGTGGAAGGAGTCTTGGTGTCCATCAACAGATGAATGGATAAAGAAGATGTGGTCTATGTACGCAATGGAATATTACTCAGCCATTAGAAATGACAAATACCCACCATTTGCTTCAACATGGATGGAACTGGAGGGTATTATGCTGAGTGAAGTAAGTCAGTTGGAGAAGGACAAACATTATATGGTCTCATTCATTTGGGGAATATAAAAAATAGTTAAAGGAATTATAGAGGAACTGAGTGGGAAAAATCAGAAAAAGGGACAAAACATGAGAGACTCCTAACTCTGGGAAACGAACAAGGGGTAGTGGAAGGGGAGGCAGGTGGGGGGATGGGGTGACTGAGTGATGGGCACTGAGGAGGACTAGGTGCTATACTAGGATCACAGAATACTAGGATACTATCCTTGACAGGATGAGCATTAGGTGCTATACTACATGTTGGCAAATAAAACTTCAATAAAAAATATGTATAAAAAAGTAAAGAAAAAATTAAATATTTAAATAATTTTTTCCCAAAAATTTCAGTCATTTACTTGTTATGTTTGTGGACTTTTTCTCCATATTGCACATTATATAGTACTTACTTAATTGTATTATTTACACTTTATTTTATTTTACTCTTTTTTTTATTAAGATTTTATTTGTTCATTTGAGAGTGAAAGAGAGAGAGTATGAGCAATGGGGGGAGAGAGAGAAGTAGATTCCTTGCTGAGCAGGAAGCCTGATGCAGGGCTGGATCCCAGGACCCTGGGATCATGACCTCAGCCAAAGGCAGAGGCTTAATCAAATGAGCCACCTGGGCACCCCTTTACTCTATTTTAATGGAAAATGTATTCATACCACTAATAAATGGCTTTCTGTGTAAAATTTTCTGCTAAACCTTAAGACTGTGTGTATGATAATTAAGACGTTCATCAGCTAAAATAATCTCTTGTGCCCCTGGCAATATATACACAACACATTTTAAAAACATTGCCTTATAGGACAACTTCCTAGTGACTAGAAGATAATATTTAGAGGCTGGTAGGTCAATACACCCACCACAATCTAGAAGTGGTAGGATAAAGGAAGACATGGGTTCATCATAGAAGAAATGGTTAAACTGACACAAAGGGAAGTCCAGGTGCTTATTCATCAATGCTGTGGAGACATTACTTGATACTACTTTCTCTAACATTTAAAGCTTGAGGTAACATATGCTAGGAGAATGATTTTTAGCCCAAGACTGGAAATCCAACAAGTTTCATGGAAATGGAACAAGAAAAAAAAAATCCCAGAACTCTTCCACTCTTGTAAGTTTTACGTAAGACATTTATATTAAATTTTCAGTGAAGATAATAAACCTTAGTTTAATGACTAATAGTTAACAGAAGTCAAGTTCCAAATGCACAGCAGTACAAAATAAATGCCTGGTTCCTTAAAAGGTTTTAATACCTAACATATATGTGAATATATATATATATATATATATATATATATATATATATATACACACATATTCATTTCAATGTGAATTAAGATCAGCTATGGTTGTTTTATTTAGGATAATGCTAGGAGCTGTAAAATTCTCTACAATACACAATGGCTCCAAGAAATAGAAGTTTATTTCTCACACTGAAGCAGTTAAAAAGGAAATTTTCTACAGGAACTTTCCTTACTTTCTACAACTTTTCTCTAAGTATAAAATTAGTCCAAAATAAAAGGTTTACTAAATAACACAAAATGAGCTTTCCTGGCCAATGTTTGGCTTTTCTCCACATGATGATTCAGTCTTCTTCCATCTTGCATCGTCAGCCTCCTGCAGGGCCTCCTTCAGTGTTCCCTGGAAGCCAGTGCATGAGGAGGCAGCAGGGAGGGAGGGGAAACACGCCCTGGTTACTAGCTTTGAATGGGAAGAGCTGCTCATGGGTTCTGCTCAGATCCGGTTGTTCTGAACGAGTCACGTGGCCCCTCCTCACTGCAAGGCAGGTTGAGAAATGCAGTCTAGAGATAGGCCCTGGAGAAAGGACAGAATTTTGATGAGCAGGGACTGGGGTCTGCTACAGTCATCCCCTCCCTCACCATACATCGGTTTGCACCTGTCTTCCAACACTTAGAAATGCATCTATGTGCCTCCCCAAAGAAGATGACCCCAAGACCCATGCAGTTACTACATCAAACTCCAAGAGCGGAATAGCTATAAATAATTTTCTTTACCAAGCCAATTTCTTTCTAGGGGGTTCAAGGTTTAGAACCCGAAGAAATGAATTCTCTGTTCTGTTTTCCCTATCACATCCAATAGACGATGGTGGACAAGAGCTTGGTAACTGGAAACAAACACACAAACTCCTCTCATTTGTAAAGGAAATAAATGGTAAATGGCCAACAGTCACTTGACCCAAATGATTATTAAAATCTGCTGGGCAGGCCTGTGAGACTCCTGCCCCGGCAGCAGAGTCAGTTCCTCGCTCTCCTGGTTCTCCTTTCTGGCATAATTCCCCATGCCCATTGTTCTCCAAGGTTTCTGGCTCTGCTTTCTGGAGGCTTTTCCTTTCTGGTTATCCCCCACCCCCACCCCCTGGCCACATTGAATGTGAGCTTTGAAGAGAATGGCTCCCTTGGAAGTTGTATTGCCTTACAATTCGGTTTTGTGGAGCAAATATGGGGTGCAAGGGTTGTATAGAGTCACAGGTTTTTGAGGCAAGGCCTCTGGTCTCTTTGCTAATGCAATTCTCTCAAAATCTTAAAAGACATTGATTGAATCTGTTCAGTCAGTTACATGTGCCAATAACCAGAGTCAATGGCATCCAAAGTTCTTTTCCAGACAGTTCTCAGGACTGCTTTATTTCCTTACTACCTCAACTCATCCCAGCCTCTCTTTTTCTCTCTCTCATTTCTCCTTTTCCTACTTCCTTGTCTCTTTTGCCTTACCCACCTCCCTTCATGTAAAATACTGGAAAAATCCTGTCTAGTAAAATAGTATTATTAATTGGAGCTTTGGTTTAAATTATCAAACAATACAATATTTCATTATAAATTCCTTCTTTTTCTCTTTTTTTGTTTTATTACAGAATCAGTCTGTGATGCATCTTTGGCAGAAACAAGAATAGGCATTTAAAAATTTTGTTCCAAAAACACTAATCCATTGATTATCATGTATTTAAATACATCTGTAAAAGGAGATATGAAATATAGAGGTATAAAGCAATGATTTTTTTATGCCTACAGAATCTCATAAAAAATTCAGATAAGATACAGCAGGAACACCTTGTCTTTACTACACAGTGTTTGAGGCTTCTATTCGGACTTGAAGCATGGGGCTGACTCAATGGTTGGCAGAGGGAACCATCAGAAAATACCTATACTCCTATGATTGGCAGTTGATACTTTCTGCTAGAACCTCAGCTAGTCTCTTAGCCAGAAACCCTATGAGGTCTCTCCCTGTGATCTTTCTGTGTGAGATGATTTGGACTTCATCTTCACCCAACAGGGTGAGTATTTTCCAAATTTGAGGGTTCTCAGAGAATAAGGAGGAAATGCATGACATTTTTATGCTCTAAAATTTTAAGTCATGTAGTGTCCCTTCTGCTCTATTTTTTGACTGAAGAAGGCATAAAGCTCTAGCCAGGTTCAAAATGAAAGAACATAGACCCCACCCCTTGATAAGAGGAGCGTCAAAGTTACATGGAATAGGAGATATTGTTGGAGCCAGAAATCTTTGAGTACAAATTGGTCAATGTCTAAACATTTACTTTCCATTTTAGATCTACTTTGTTTGACTCCTTAAATGAATCTTAATATGGTTATTTACCTGTGTACTTTTATGAAAATATGCTTTTTAAAACCATTTATAGGGATACCTGGGTGGCTCAGTGTTGAGTGTCTGCCTTCGGCTCAGGGCATGATCCCAGAGTCCCAGGATCGAGTCCTACATTGGGCTTCTTGTATGGAGCCTGCTTCTCCTTCCTCTGCCTATGTCTCTGCCTCTCTCTGTGTGTCTCTCATGAATAAATAAGTAAAATCTTAAAAAAATATATATATATAGTTTCTTTTTTTGGAGAAAAAAGTATAAAAAATATCTAATGTCAATATTTTTGCAGATATCCCGACACAGAAGGAATCATTCACAGCATGTCTTGAAAGATGTCATTACTCCATTGGAACAGTTGGTAAGTTTATTTCCCTGTAATTCTGTATTATTTACCTACTACTGCAGAATAAATTATTCCTAAACTCAACAACTTAAAATAGCATGCATTATTATCTCATATTTGTGTGGGTCAGGGATCCAGGGATGGCTTAGCTGTGCCAGAGTCCTCTGGTTCACAGTTCTTCAAAAGATTTCAATCAAACTTTAAGTAGGAATTGGAGTCACATCTGAAGGTTTGATTGGGGAAGGATCTGCTTTCCTGTTCATGCACATGATTGTTGGCAGGGTTCAGTTCCTCCAGGAATGTGGTCCAGAGGCTGCTCTCAGTTCCCTGTCATATGGGCCTCACCAGTAGAGCCATGCTAGCAATTCTGCTAGCGAGACAGAAGGTGAAATCTTTTGTAACCTAATCATAGTAGTGATATCCTGTCAACTTTTCCATGTTCTCTTGGTCAGAATCAAGTCACTAAGTCCAGTCTATACTCAAGAAGGGACAACACAAAGCTGTGAATTACAGGAAGCAGAGATTATTTGGGACCTATTGTACTTTTGACAATTTTTTTTTAAAGAAAAATTTAATCCTAGGGTGCCTGGGTGGCTCAGTTGGTTGAGCATCTGACTCTTGGCTTTAGCACAGATCGTGATCTCAGGGTCATGAGATCAAGCCCTGTGTTGGGCTCTGCACTCAGTGTGGAGTCTGCTTGAGTTTCTCTCTCTCTCTTCCTCTGCCATTCCCACTCATGCTCTCTCTCTCTCTCTCTAAAATAAATGAATAATTTTTTAAAGGAAAAAATTAATCCCTTACCAGTAGATTCTAAGCCCACTAAAGCAGGAATTTTTTGTTTCCATTTTTGTTTATTGTTTTATCCTAATGACTAGAAAAGTGCCTGAAACATTGCAAATAACATGAATGAAATATTAGAGATATCTTAAAAACACATAAGCCCAACTTTCCTGATATGTTCTGACACTTCTTTCTGTTAATGATTCATTTTTGATAAACATAACACCATTTTTCTTTATGCTTATCCTTCCTGCTAAATTTCACATTGGCCAACATGCTTCCAGTTTCATGGGCTTATAGGACACTGCACTGAGATGACTTGATTTCTAGCTTTTCCCTGCTATTCCATCCCTATTATCTTTGGGCTTTCTCATCCTCAACACCAAAAATATTTCTTTTTCTAGTTCAGTTCTCTCTTTCATTGTTCATCTTCTAGATCCCTCATCTCTACTCTAGCCATTGCTCCACTACTTTCTTTGTTTTAGAATAAAAATTCCTTACAAGGATTGACTACCTTTTTTGTTGTCAATTTCTCCTTTATCTCTTGAACCAACTCCATTTAGGCTTTTATCTCAACTGCTAATCTCCTATCAAGGTCATCAATTGCTTCCATATTGCTAAATCCATAGGTAAAGTCCCAGTTTTCTCATTAGATCTGAGCAGTTTTTTGTTTTTTTTTTAAGATTTTATTCACTTATTCATGAGAGAGATACAGAGAAAGGCAGAGACATGAGACACAGAGAAAGGCAGAGACATAGGCAGAAGAAGAAGCAGGCCCTTTGCAGGGAGCCCTATGTGGGACTAGATCTTAGGACCCCAGGGTCATGATCTGAGCTAAAGGCAGGTGCTCAACCACTGAGCCACCAGGACCACCAGGGTGCCCAGACCTGAGAAATTAACCCAGTTGATAACTCTTTTTTTTAAATGATTTTTTAAAAGCTTTTATTTATTCATTCATGAGAGACAGAGAGAGAGAGAGAGAGAGAGAGAGAGAGAGAGAGAGAGGCAGAGACACAGGCATAGGGAGAAGCAGGCTCCATGCAGGGAGCCTGACATGGGACTCGATCCCAGGTCTCCAGGATCAGGCCCTGGGCCAAAGGCAGGCGCTAAACCGCTGAGCCACCTGGGCTGCCCTGATAACTCTCTTTGAAACACTTTCCTCATATGACTATGAGTAAACCGTTTTCTTATGGAGCTTCAGTGAATTAAATAGCCACTCATGTTCCATTAAATAGAATTCCATTTTGCCCAGGCCTTCAAATGCTTGTGATGGCACCCCCACCCCTCCCCTGGACTCCATTGTGCCCCTCCCACTGATCCTGTGTAGCAGTTCCATACCAATCTTCAGGAAACAGTACTTTCTTCATTTTCCTTGTGAAAGCATCCAACAGCCTCTAATTCTCTATGACATCAAATTTATAGATTTCTCTCATGGTCTCTGACTTATCTTATTTATTATCTACTCCCAAATATACACCCTCAAACCAGGGATGGTAACATCATTAAGACACATCTTTTACCCTGAGGGAACTTGGGTTTTCTGTGACAACTGTTATCCTCATCTCAGCACTCTTTTGTGTTGTTCACCCTCAGTTCATGGGTAATAGGCTTGTTCCATGGCTACACTGTAATGCTTTGAAGTTAGGGATCAGGACTTATATTTTCTTTATTATTTCATACTTCGTCTTACATTGCTTTTGGCACCAGGACTTGTTCAGAAAAGACATGTTTGTCAACTGATTTAATAATAAGATGTTAATGGTGTATTAAAAGTATATTGTCAATTTAGATGTTAATAAATATATGCCTGCTATTTATAGAAGTTCTTTGTGAGAGAGATTCTCTAAAACCTGCCGAGGAGGAGGCATGGATGGCCAGGGGGAGAGAGAGAATCCCAAGCAGGCTCCACGCCCAACACAGAGTCCAACGTGGGGCTCAATCTCACGAACCTGAGATCATGACCTGAGCTGAAATCAAGAGTCGGTTGCTTAACTGACTGAGTCACCTAAGCACCCCTGATTAACTTTTAACTATCCATTATCATTCATACCAAGACTTGAATTATTTTCTAAAACCTATAAAGTTTTCTTTATGTTTGACTAATCTAACCTTATATTATATTTACCTAGACACACATACTTTTCCTCAAAAATACGGTTATGTTCCTCACTTTCATCTCTACTAATCTCCTCCCTTCCACTATTGCTTCAGCCAGAGGTTCTCGCAATAGTTTCCCTTAGCAGTACCAACCAGGATGACCTATTAAACATGCAATAATATACATTGAAACATTTTAGAAAATAATAAAATTCTTTAAGTTAGATTATTAGTCATTATTTTTACCATATGGATTTTTTAGCTTATTTATGTCCAACATTTTTTGCTGTATAAATCCCATTTCCTTGATTTCAGAACTCCCCTGAACATTTTCTAGAAACCATGAGAAACCTTGGCTTTAAACATAACTGGCAAAAGTGCATCATTAGATCTATCCCCTTGGAGAAAAATGATTCACTTTTTAAAAGTGGAATCTGCCATGGTGGGTACGCCAATAGATGCTATCACTCTCCAGTAGCCAGGCTTCACTTCTCAATGGCCCCTATAATGAAGTAGATAATGATCAACCTGGTTAAACAGAAGCATAATGCATTTGTTCTGAATACTGGCAAAAATACATTTCTTGCTGGAGTCTAAAATCTCATGGCGGAAACCACCCAGTTCACTGACAGGTGACGTCATTCATGCCACATGGTATACAAATCCATATGCTATCAGTGCAAGAGACCTAAATTATTTTCTGGGAATCTGTATGGTTGCTTAACAAATGCTATAATGCAGCAACGATTTTCAACACAAAATGTCAAATATACTATTATGTGTTTGTTTCCGGATCTTGCGTATTTCATGTTGTAACTGTTCATGATACCTAATTATTTTCAGGGCACTTTCCCTTTTTCCCTCAAAGAAATGCTTGACAAAAATAACCATGTTTATAACATGCTAAATTTTTATCATCTTTATTTTTTTCAAAAGAGTATGAGACAGTCTATGGATAACCCTGCAGGAGTCAAAAGCCTGTGGCAGGTTTTAGAGAATCATCTGCTGCCTCCTGAGCTGGGAGGATTTGTAGGACGGAGCTCAGGAAGTTGCCATGGCTTGGGGGCAAAGCAGGCTTTTGCAGATAAACCTTAAGTCTCAGATTCTACCTTTTGGAGCCAGATATCATTTTGTGGATTAATTAATACTTGTGAGGGTTTTGAGGATGAAAGACATTGTAAGCATACAGTGTTTTCTTATTTTAAAACAAAGGACAGCCACTTTGGGGGAATAATTCTATTGATCAGGCTATGCTTTCCTTAAATCGCAAAAAAAAAAAAAAAAAAAAAAAAAAATCCCAAAAGCTCTTCAGGCTTTCAAAATTTTACTTTAGTAAGATAAAATAACATTCCCCTGGATCTTCAAGTTGGTAGTGTGTTAATAACAAGTTATATAATTTAATGACTTCAATAGAAATCGTCTCCTGGGTTGTTGTTTCCTGCGCCCTTCCTTTATTAACGTCCTGTATTTGTTGGGGCCATCCCTGTGCTAGGTGCTATGCTAAATTTAGAGTATGCAGTGATATGCTAAATAGTCATGTCCTTTTCTCCAGGAACTTTCAATCTCGGAATGAAGAGAAGCTTAATCTAGTAAAGGAAGGCATCATTCTTTAAATGCAAATCACAAAACGTGCTATGGCAGCAGAAAAATAAATTTCTATGAAACAGGGGCTAGCCTACCCTGGATTAAGTAGTCATAAAAGCATTCTTTGAAAGGAGCATTTAAATTGAGATTGCAGGATACATAGGGTTTGTCAAGAAAGAACTTGAAGAGGAGACTGTGAACCCGAGGAACAGCAAGTGAACGGCAAGTGCAAAGGTCTAGAGATCAGAACAAAGTTAGTCCATCTTAAAAAACTACACAACTGTCATACTGGCTCGAATGTAGTGAACAAGGGAAGTGGGTTGGGGTGCAGAGAGAGGGAGGCAGTACTCAGATGATGAAGGGCCTTGAGGTGATGGTAAGGAGATTAGAAGCCATTAAAAGACAGAAATAGGTTACAATAACATCTCCCATCCACATTTGAATTTCATTTAACTCTAGAGTAGAGAAAAAGAACACACACACCACCACCAACAAAGGCTATTAACATTGAGCAATGCTTTCTTCCTTACTGCCCAGACCAAAATTAGGTTATA